TCACTAATAATAACACGTGGTGTGCCAAACCGAGATAAAACATTTTCTTTCAAAAATTTAACAACCGTTTTATTGTGATTAGCCCTACAAGTTGATGCTTCTACCCATTTAGACGCATTCAATTGCCACAATAATGTACAAATAATCAAAAGATGGTGTAAAAGGTCTCATGAAATCAATTCCCCAGCAGTCAAATATTTCAATTACTAAAATGGGATTTTGGGTCATCATGTTATGCCAAGACCAAGCACCTAATTTTTGGCATCTTTCACAAGATTTACAGTAATCATTAGTATCCTTAAATAAAGTAGGTTAGAAACCACATTGTATAATTTTTGCAACATGCTTGGGTATAACAAAAATTTAGCACACTAGGTATCTCATCATCAAGGACACAATGTCTTAAAACTTGGTCGGGGTAGTATTTAAATAGACATGGATCATCCCAATAAACGACGAAATTTGTTTCTTTAAGGCACTAGTCTTATGGTGGGGAAAGTATTTATTAAAGAATGCTTGAGTCATTTCAACCGAAGTGCCAATCGATTGTGGTCTCAACAAATACAGCCAGCTTTTAACTCGTTCTTTAATTGAAAATGGGAAAATTTTTAGCCTGACTGTGTCCGTTGTACGATGTTGATTGTGGAATATTGTGACCACCTCCTCAAATTCCCTAATATGTACGTATAGATTTTCATTTTCGATTCCATGAAAAGTAGGAAAAAGTTGAGTCATTCTCGGTTTAAGTTCCATACGTGGCATATTAGGCGGGAACATGATGCATGATCATGTGGATGTGTATATGGGGTGAAGATAATCCTATAAAGCATATCGTCATGTTCACTATCAATCATTGTGTTGTATAGTGTGGTATTCATGGCAATAAATGCAGTATCAAAGATAGGGGTCAGAAAGTTATTCAAAAACTGGAAAAGGTCCTTCGGTAGAGCTTCCTTGCTCGCCTCGATCCCGCTCATAAAACACGAAAACTAAACTATATGAGAATAAAAAATAACAAATAAGAAAATTAATTTAACTAAAGAATAGAAAAGGAACGATATCACCATTTTCAGTCGATCCTTGGTATTTTACACCGTCTCCCCAGCAATGGAGCCAAAATTTGATTACGTCTAAAGAATAATACAGTATTTGTAGCACAGCTTTCGGGAGTCGATTCCTCAGGGAGATGAAAAATTGCTCAAATGATCAAAAAGTGAATGCTTTCTTGGAATGTAATCTATTGCTTTAATAAAGTTTAAATCAGAGTTTAAAATAACGAAACTAAAATAGATGTTTGGAATAGTGAAGCACCAAAATTCTCCCAATTGGATTGGGTCATTCAACATCAATTATTATTCTTTTTACTCAATTAGAGGTTTTTATTCCAACTCTCTAATCAGAAGATATATCATTGGAAATCAATTTAATTCAATAGTAATCCTAGAATCTAGATTTTCTATAGCACATTCCCACGTTTTTCATTGGAATAAGATTAAGAAACGACAATATACATCAAGCATAAGACACTAATTAATCACACCAATAATATAAATTTGAGAGTAAAGTTCAACAAATACTTCAATTATTCAATAGAAGAAGCGTGACTAGATCTATAAAGAATTTAATAAAAGTTAAGCTAATCTCAACAATAAGTAATTGAAATTGAAACTCAAAAAATAGTTTGATTAAACAATGAAAAAAGCATGATTGANTCTAAATCCTAAAATTATTCAACAAAGAAATATCAAATTACATGAATAAATGATGTAAAATCTCCAAACCCAATGAGTTCCTTCCTAATTTCACCAAGAATTTTAGATCTTCATGCAAATCTTGAGCCAAAACCAGAGAAAAATATGTATGGAGGCATCTTCCCTCATTCTGGTATGTTCCAAAGTTGAAATATCGTGAAAGAATTTGATTTCCATACAAATTTGACTTAAATTAGGAAACTAAGATTCATGTCAAAAATTACTATAGTAAGTGTTGCGGTCACATAAAAGTCCCGAGTTGGGTGCTGGATTTCTCTGAAGGGGCACATGCAACTGCATAGGGGATTAGGCTATGCGACCGCATAGCTTATCCCAATTCTACAATTATTGCATTTTGGTCCTCGAACTTCATTCCTGGTTTTGTGACTTCTTTCTCCACTTCTTCTTCCCGTGCTTAATTCCTTAGCCCAATTTGACATCGTCATCTTCATACCTTCATTTTGCCTTTCGAGTCATCTTTTGAACATTTGCAATTTGGTCCCTGAATTTTGATTTCCTTCAATTGGTCTTTTTTTCCACTTGTTTCTCATTATTTCCGCTACATTCATCACGTTGTCCTGCAAAACGTTTATTACATTGAATTAAGTTATATTCCAATATATTAATCAATAATTTTTCATGTGTTGACATTAAAATATGTGTGTAAAAGCATACTTACCATGAAGAATACATGGGAATTCAAAGCTACAGTGATTTTAATTAATTGAGTTTCGGAAACATTTCTTAATTAGCTAAAAGTTTCATAGCAGTCAATTAGTTTTAGATTATACTTTGATATCATAAATTTCTACAAATTGTGTATTTAGACTAAAGTTAGTCTTAATTGGAACTTGCTTAAATAAGCCGTCATCGTGACAATGATGTCTTATTCACTCTTTATTATTTGATTACGATATCATATACTTGTGGAATTTTAGCGCAACACTTACCTTATGTGATCTCTTTATTTCATTATAATTGATTATCAATAAAAAAAATTAAATACGACGATAATTACAATATGTTTGGTGCCCATTATTTTTTTCAAAAAAGGAGTTTTGAATATCAATTTTTAGGAGAATATGTAGTTAAAAAGTAGAAAAAAAAAATTGGATTTACATGCAGAATATTTTATCGTGTGAATGCATTATTGAAAATGATACTGTAGTAAAAAAAAAAAGTTTTAAAACATTGGGCACAAAATAGGACGTAATATTTAGAAACTCAATTCTCCTCTGCACAACTAGCACGGTTGGTTGGTTGGCGGATGAAAGGTCGAATATAAAACTTTAATTAACATGTTATGTTGTATGTCAAGTCTCGAACATTCTTTTTCTTTAATATTAATTAAAAAAAAAAAAAAACTCTTTAGGAAAGGAAAATGCATTGAACCATACCCGATTCACCTGGTTTTTATTTTGATTTTTTAATGTTATAATTTAAGAGTGCGCTTGATTGCGAGCATGAAATTTAAATTTAAATAAAATAAATCTAAGCAATTCAATCGCTTAGAAATTATTTATATGAAAGTTATTGATTAAATATGTTTGATTGATTTAATTTTCAACCTAGTAAATATTACACTTGTCCATTTTTTATTGATGAATATATAAAAGTGGGTGATATATGAGAGAGTGAGTGAATTACCTGGAAAATAAAATTCACTTCTTTCTAAAGAAAATATTTTTCTTGTTTTTAAGAAAAATATGATCATATAACCAAAAGTAAGAAAAGATTTTCCGAAAAAAAATTATCAATCAAACAACACAAAATTTTATTATTAGTAAGCATCGTATTTAATTCTACATTTTTACTTATAAAACAAAATTTTAATAAAATCTCCAAGAAATTGTCGTAATATTTCTAAATTCTAATGGCGGTCCAAAACAAAAACATGTTTCACACCTTATAAGTCAATAGGTGTCACAAGGAACCAAAAGTTTTACTCATTGCTAGGGATGGCAAAAAAACTCGTCGGCTAGAGCGGTTCAACTCGGCTCGAAAAAAGTTCGAGCCGGGCCCTGGTCGGGCTCGGTTACACCGAGCCAAGGCTTGGGCCGAGCCTCATTTTTTTGGCCAGGCTTTGCTCGGTTCGGACCCAAAAAAGTTGGGTCCAAAAAAGCTCGAGCGAACCCGAACTTTTTTATTTAATTTATAGCACGTATAAACCATACAAATTTTAAATTTTTTTAAATAAAAATGTAGATTTAACATTAAAAAAAAAAATCGAACGGCTCGGCCCGCTAAGGCTCAGGCTAAGGCTCATTTTTTTTGACCGAGCTTAGCTCGGCTCGGCTCGGCTCGGGCCCAAAAAAGCTCGAGTCGAGCCCAAACTTTTTTTTAGGCTCGGCTTGGCTCGGCTCAGCTCGACTTGTTGACATAGCTACTCATTGCTAAGGATTTCGCTTCATTGCTTGTTGGGTAGAAAGAAAATTAATTGGGCGTCTATTTGGAGGTCTTAAATTTAATTTAATTTATTTCTCTCACTCATTTTCAATCACATATTAATACAATAAAACGTTCTATGCGTAAATTCAAAAAATTTCCTTACTTTTTAACTGCATATTTTTCAAAAATAATACTATTCGAAACATGGTTTTTTAAATTTAAAGGCCACCAAACAGGGGTTGTCTCGTGGTAATAATTTTTATAATCATCTTATTCAGAAGTTTAAAATCTGAATCCAATTTCATTTTTTCATTGTTTGTCGCATACACAATTTTCATAAATAAACGACGATAGAGTTAAACCAATGCCTTTTACTTAGCACTAATATCATAATAATCATATAATCTAAAACATAAACGATTAGAACAAGCTCATATTTATTTATTTAACTTCTATCTTCAATAAACCCAACATCAAATAATTGGCAACGGGCTTGAAAATATTGTCGAAGTCTGCAATGCAACAATAACAATTTCAGACACCTATTACATTGTCACACATGTCGTGCCCCGATAAGCAGTTCATGTATATGACAAGATTCACTGTCCAACTGTCCATGTTTGCTCATCCTATCAATTAGCACCGCGAATATTCACCGATCCCAACCCAACACAAGTCTTAAGCAATGTGCTTTGACCAAATTTTAAACAATGTTGGATGGGGCAACTATATTCGACCATCGCACATTTGAAAGCAGCCCCTTTTTGCTCATTTCTCAAATTGAAAATAAGAAGTAGGAGTAAATTTGAAAATAAATTATAAGCAATTGATCAACAAAATCTGATATCTGTAGCTGAAAAATCATGCAGGAGCTATAGAAACTCTTTCAACCTCAATCACATATTCAAGAGTGGCAAATGGAGGAATTTGCACTCCTGACCCTAAATCTGCACCTTCCTCCCCAAAACCCAAATTGGGTGGAATTATAACTTTTCTTTTTCCACCAGCCTTCATTGTCTTCAAAACATATTCTATGCCTTCACATATTCCTCTATTATAAGGCCTTGATCCCATTACAAGTGCCAATGGCTTCTTCTTTTCACTCCCATATGTATCAACAAACACTTGTCCACTGCCTTGGACACTACCCTTTAAATCTATCACCACCAAATCGCCTGGTCGGGGAGACGCTCCACCGCCTATTCTCAAATCATAGTACCTTATCAAATGTCAAAACTATTCCGTTCATTTGGGTACACAGTACTTAACAGGACTAAATAATGCAATAAACATGTCATAAACGGAAGTTTTTTGTAGAATGGCCACATACCTTATGCCATTAGGCAAAACTACCTCTTCTTCCTTCTCAACATCTCTACACAAGTCAAGACATGCATTAGTAACATTTAGAATTAAAAGCTGTATACCCAATTTGTAGAAGAAGATCAATGCTTCAATGACAGAAGATTTCTTGATGACTAGCATCTACCATCATTTTCAAAATAAAAATATTTTTTTTATCACGATTGGCAGAATTATAATCGTTCTTAGCATATCAGGAATAGGCGAAATGCAGGGCAAAATTCTGCATAACGGGTATGTTTTGACATGACCCGTCTCAAAGCATCCTAGTGGATCTAAGTGATGTACGGTTATGATGAAATCTAGCTAGATAACCAACCACCAATGTTGACTATCATCTGTTGCTATTTGCACAGTAAGCAAGAGAACATCGATCTCTAAGTATGCAAGCGTCAAAGATAATGTTCACACGATCCATATACAAATTGAACATTTATCGTTAGCGCACGTCACTTTGCAGGTCACAAGTGTTACACGGGGCTGGTCGTGTCATGTTTAGTATAATCCACATCATCAGACAACCCATCAGTGAAAATGCGATATCAGACTCTTCTATCTTTTTGACTCTAGCATTAAGATTCGATGTAAATCCATTAAATCAGATGATTTCTTTCTAATGATGTCAATAAATATCATACCTTGTGTTTGCTTCTTGTTGTGAAACTTCAAAACGAGTCTTAATTTGTTCCGAAAGAACGCCAACAGCGAGAAAACCAACCCAAGCTAGACCAGCACCAATTCCAAATCTTCTGGTTAAGGTGGAAGATATCCAATCAGTGGACTCCACACTTTTCTTGGTTACAGGCATCTGCTGTTGCACTTTAGCTGGCTCTGCTGCATTTGAACTGAGCTGTTGAGTGTTTGGGGGTGTAGCTGGTGGCTGCGGAGGCTGATATGATGGTGGCTGTGGAGGAGGGGTTTGTGATGATGAAGAGAAGTAATTATTTCTTGTTTTTGAAAGAGATAGAAACTGTGGGGATCCAAAGAAAGTTGCCATTTTTCACATACAAAATCTTGGTTCAAAATTTCGGGATTTGGAATGGGAGATGGATATTTGTAGTGAACACATAGTGAACACAATGTGAAAAAGTGGCCTTTGGCCCCCACCTTATCTTTTACATGTGATGAGCATAAGCTCAAGGTCAGTTGGAACTTTTTGATTTGAGCAGGGCAACATTCGTACTTACTGCGTTGTTAAGCACCACGCACGCTAGCAGTCGTAGTCCTATGCCAGTACCCTTCGACCAAATATCAGAACAACATCAAGGAGGCAAAGATATCTGATAATGGCACAAGTAACCAGTGTCGGCATTTGGTTAGACATTTTGGGAGTTTGTAAGAGAAGATAGGTTGAAAAAAAATTTATAATTAATGTCTAATAAATCAAAATTATATGACTGACAAATCTACCTTCGACTTCATGATCCATCCATATATACGTTTGATAAACCACGTTCAAACGATACATGTTTTATTGGGCCTTCTCCTATAAGGTTGCTTCTACTTTGGGAAATTACAAAAAATCAGGCATTTAATTTTTCAAATTCAAAATTCAGGTCTAAATTTTATTTAATCAAAAATCAGGTATTGAATTAATAATTAAATAAAGTATTAAATATTATATATCTAACCCCTCCCCAAATTTCCTAAATCTAATCCACACCCTAAATAATTTAGAAATCAACCCTACCTACCTCCCCCCACGTCATTTCCCCCAAACTCATTCTCTCTCTAACTATCCTCTCTCTCTCACTCTCACGCGAATCTAATCCAAACCCTAAATAATTTAGAAATCAACCCTACCTACCTCCACCACGTCATTTTCCCCAATCTCATTCTCTCTCTACCTCTCCTCTCTCTCTCGCTACTCTCCTCTCCACTCTCTCAGCACCTTCTCCTAAATTGAAACCGTCGCCACCACCTCAGCGTCATCGCTGCAGCTATCCCATCTCTCGTCGCCGTCACAACGATTGAAGCGGCGATTGAAATGGTATATATGCAGCGACGACATCTGAAGCGGCGCCGTCGTCGAAGAACCCCAAGGTCCGCCTCTATTTTACGGTATTCTCTCTCTCGTACTTCTCTCTTGTCGTGGTTTTTGTGGCTGCTCCGGCAATTGGTGTGAATCTGTGGTGGTGCGGTGGTGTCGCAATGGCGTCACAGTGATGATGCTAATGTGAATCTGCGGTGGTGTCGCTGGGGTTTTTTGTGGCGGTGGTGTCGCAGTGGGAAGAAATATGTGACGGTGCCGTGGTGGAATGTTGTTGTGCGATGGTGGTGTTGATGTGGCGGTCTGGTGTCTCTTGTCGTGGTTGTTGTGNTGTCCTGGTGGGTGTGATGGTTTCTGCTTGGGGTTGTGTCGTCGGTGGAGTCGGTTATGTTGGGGTAGTGGCGGTGCTTTGTTTGGTGGATGTGGGTGGTGGCAATGTTTTGTGTGGTGATGGTGGTTGAAGTAATGCTAGTGGTATGTGACCAAGTATTTGGTTATCTGTGACTTAAAAATTTGACAATGTGTAACTGAAAAATAATCTGTGACCAATAAATTTGAAAATATGTGACCAATGAAATTAACCATTTTTTTTATCTGTGACCTACAAAATTATATAATTTGTAATCGTAAAAAATATGTAACCAATTACTTTGGAAATCTGTGACCGTGTGACCTTTAAATTTTGATCTGTGACCAACTAATTTTGAAATTTGTGACCAACGAATTAAATATGACCTATAAAATTTTTGAACTGTAACCATAAAATAATCTGTGACGTATAAAAACTATTATTTGTGACTGAAAAATAATCTGACTAATTAAATTATAAATATGTGATCGGAATTATTGTCGGAATAGTCGCCGGAATAGGAGCAGTTGCAGGAATGGTCGTCGAAGAAGAGTGGTCGCCGGAGAAGAGTGGTGATCGGAATGGTAGTCAGAATAGTCCTCGGAGCAATAGGGGTGGTGCATGTGAAGTGGATTCATTATATTATATTATATTATATTAGGAAAAAAAAAACCTGATTTTTAAATTTTCAAACTACAAACATGATTTTTGAATTGGTGTAAATTAAACACTTTATTTATGAATTTTTCCCTTCTAGTTTTACTTCTACTACTTGTATAAGGGCTTTTTTGAAAAGAATAATATTATTCATAATCATTGATGTTAAACACCAGTCAATGTAACAATTACATGATATTAAATAATAAATATATATAAATGAAAAGTCACGTAACTCATTTAATTAAACATATAAATTATTAACCACCTAAATTGGCGCTCTAATACCACTAGTGCTAAATAGTATCATTCTTCTAATAAGCTACATTAATTAAAAAAAAAAAATTCTAAAAGTTCTAATCAAATAAAACAGTGTCTCAAAAAATTATCCAAACATGTTTAAAAATAATTGTCTTAAAAGTAGCTTTTGACTTTTCAAAAATCAAAAATTAAACTCCTCAAAAGCATGATAAAGCATCAATAAAGCAACAAACTCCACAAAAGGGGGAGACATTTTTTTCCCACATAATTGAAATTGATTTTTCCACGAACGTTTCCCAGTACCTTCAATATGATTTTTCACTAGCTTCGTTTTAGAAACTAGACAGAAACAAAAATTTCAAACCTTAATTACAACAAATTCAAATGAATATACAAGCAACTACACAATTCATGGATGGTGGCACGATAAGCCATGAATACAAACCATAAATGGCAATCTCAGGGAAATGAAAGAATTCTAATTCACTCAAATGTGTTGTATGTGCTTTATATCAAGATCTATGACAAAATCTCATTCACCATTTGCCTCCGATGCAAGTCACTCTGATCGAGCAAAATAACATATCCGTCCCCACTAGCTCTTACGACTGGATCGATCTTCCAAGCTTAGTGATGACTGAACCTTCTCATCTCTTCTACTTACAAGCACACCGGATCTTGGCACGTGTGAATTGGAAATAGGCTTTTGCAGTGGTTTCAGAGCAGCCATAATATCAGCAAATGATGGCCGTAATCTTGGATCTCTATGATATTTCATGTACGAAAAGAAAAATTTCTCAACTTTAAATACTGAAAAACAAACAATTGCACCATATGGGCATGTGCTTCATTCATTTGTATCTAGCTGTACTCCAGGATCTATATATCTCAAGCACTTAAGACCTTAAGTTTCATGATTTGTACACGGTACTAGAGCATTAAACAGCATAATAAACAAAGTTTTAGCTTATTTCTCGTTCTTAATATACTATCCAATTAACACACAGCATTTTTTAACATCATTTGTAATGATTAGTAAACGAAGCCTACTTGGGTGAAAAGAATTCATAACTTCCCTAAATCTACAGTTAGACTAGATGCAAACATTTGAACACCAGAAAGCTATTGAAATACACTCACGTTAGCCAGCATTTCCTGATTATATCTGCTATAACTGGATCCATATCGTCTGGAATGTCAAGACGACGATGTTGAAATCCAACAGCACCAACAACTTGCATAGGGTTCATTCCTCCCCAAGGTTGCTGCAAAGTACAAAGTTCCCATAGTATAACGCCAAAGCTATAAACATCACATCTGCATGTAAATCAATCAACAACCCAATCAATCAAAAACCACAAAATAAAGAAGAAAATATGTCACTTTAAGGATGAATTGTTTTCACATCTCTCGTATATTTTTATGTAAGAGTAATAATTGGAGGACATACTTTTCATTTGATGGCTCATTTCTAAGAACTTCTGGTGCCATCCACTCTGCCTAAAGAAGGGTAACACCAAATCATTATCAGAACTGTCCTTTTAAAATTGCTTTATGGAAGCATTAGTGGTTATCAAATGTCAGATGACAGTTAAAAAGTCAAGATATTTTATTCAAAAGATGATTATCCCCTTATTGTCAATTAAAATAGGAAATAAATAAAAAGGAAAAAGAACAAGATAAAAATAATCCCCCACCCCCAAAAAATGAACCCAAACATACGCTAAAAAAAAAATTCCACCTGTACAAAAGTTTGAGGAACAATGATGAGATGACACCGGGGAATGCAAAAGTTGACTTATAAATGGAACATAGCAAAGATAAAAATTAGCTTGGGCATCCATCAAGTGCTACAAAATACAATATTGATCCAACTTGCCTATTGCTATCATATTGAGGATTTTTCACTAGTGGTGGCAGCAACTATCGAAATACAGATGCAAGCTTTGCCACCTCGTTTCAATTGCTTCTATAAATACTCGTACTTCTATATTATAAAATAACAACCAAAAAATTCAACTTTCAGTTTATCCAGATAAATACAGCTTTTCAAATTTTGAATTTATTTGCAAAACATGGATAGCAGAAAACCAAGTTTCTCAAAGGAGAAGGTAACAGGACACCACCGTCGATCTATTTCTACAAAATGGCTGATATTAAATGATGCAATAAAATAAGCCAGTTGCATGATGAATCATCATATTGTTCCATCCATGTAGGTAAAGGAGACAGAAAAGGACAAACCTGATAGAACAATGGAGGAAAGCATTTTCAATGGAAAGTTGTATTAATGCGGTGAAATAATATGAGAGATAGTAACATGTCGGTTCCTCAAAAGGATGTGACATTTGAAAAAGACATTATGATATTTATCAACAAAGAACGACAAAATATATTTCGGAGCAGATAAAGTGCTAGTATAAACCCAAACAAAAAAAAAGGTATTAGGAATCTAAATTACTGAATGAGACAGAAAAGGCCATAGTACAAATTAGGTTAGTCCAGCTTACCGTCCCGGCATTTGACTTCGAAGAAATAAATGTGCTGTCCTTCATTTTTGACAATCCGAAATCGGCTACCTTGACGCAGAAAATAATATGTGATTTATTATGATTGAAAAAATAATAGTATCATTGTCATTTCTCAGTGAAGAAAGCCACCTTCACGACCCAATTCTTATCAACAAGAAGATTTGGAGACTTCAAATCACGGTGAACTATTACAGGTGTACAGTTGTGCA